AGGATTTAAAATTCTAGTTAGAAATATTAGGTTTTAATCATCTCCCAATTCTAATACTTTGTCAGGGAACATTTCCATCTTGCTGCCTGCTCTTTGTTTGAAAGGACCACCTCTCAGTGAAAGGTCTGCATTAAACACTTCGCATTTCTCTCAGGATTGTTTTGAATTTCTGAAAAAATATGCAAATAGCATATTTGGCTGGCAAAGACAGATTCATTGAACATCTAGTTCCTTAAGAGACAGAAATAGTATATGGAAATGAGCAAAAAAAAAACTTTGTCCGTTCAACAAAAATAAACCCACCAAGAGATTTCCCAATGGCAGTGGCCCTCTCAGGTCTAAGAAGTCCACGATGCAACCAGTCCTTCAACTGGAGTCTTAAACAAAACTGTCCAGTTACTTTGGTTTCTTCATTCTATATTTATACTTTCCAGATAGATGGCATATTAAAATTATAAATTTTCATCTCATGAAAAAACCCTACATCTCTTCTAGGCCAGTGTCTGTAAGTAGAAAAACCTAGACTTGCTCACCAACTCAAAACTCTCACAAGTATGACAACTACTCCCAGTGCCTGGGAGTGGCATCCACCCCTTCTCCCCATCTGCAATGAGGAGCAGAGACTCCAGCCTGGAACTTCCCTGCTCCGGCTCTGGTGTTTCGCTGCCATAGCCAGAGATATCATTTTATAGCTGGGTTTAGAAATTTTCAAAGTGAAAAGTAAAAATTCAAAATTGCTTTTGATAAAATATGCAATACTCAGAACACTCATAAATGTGTGAGTTCCAGCTTGTGTTTGCCTCTACAGTGCATGGGTGAAGAAAGCCATATGTTTAATTTGGGTTAAAAAGGGCTGAAAAACCTCTTTAACAGTTCACATTTGGCCTTTTGTCACAGTAGCACCATTTCTGTTGTTCTTTATGTGATACCTACTTCCAAATGCTCTTCCTGCTGACCATTCCTTACACAGTAATATAAATTTTTAGTAAAGACAGTTGGCTTTTTTTCCCTGTCTGCAAATTTCACATTATAGAATCAACTGAATGGAAAGTGGGTGTGGGTGTGGGTGCATCTGTACTGAATAGGTATACTTTTTTCCCTTATTATTCCTTTTTTTGGGGGGGGGTACCGGGGATCGAACTCGGGTCCTTGTGCTTGCGAGGCAGGCGGCAGAACCGCTAAGCTAAATCCCTAGCTGGCATTATTCTTTGAACAAGACTGTACAATCACCTAGTGTGTACATTGTATTTTACAAGTGATCTAAATTAGTTACGTGAGGATATACATAGGTTGTATGTATGTGACTGCTGTGCCATTTCAGCTAAGGGACTGAGCACCCACAGGTGTTGGTGCCAGCCAGCAGTCCCAAAGCCAGTCACTGCATCCAGAGTGCTGAGGACAGACTACATTCACAACAGAGGCTCCACTAGGCGTGGTGGCGCGTGCCTGTCATCCCAGCACGCAGGAAGGTAAAGCAGGAAGATCCCCCATGAGTTCAAGGCCAACCTGGGCTACATAGTTGAAGCCCAGCCTGTACTGCAAAGCAAGACCCTGTCTCCAAAATAAAAAGGCTTCACAGTGGATGGACCAGAAACAGCTGTTCCTGATGGGCCTTGTGATTACTGACAGAAAAGTCCCATTGTTTTCTCACCAGAATATAAGAAAATAAGGTTTCTGAGTCAGTTTACCCCAGGTACCTCCAGTTTTTCTTTTCAATAAAATAAATGCCATCTTGTAAGGCATCTGTTATTCTGAAATAGTCAATAAAATATATTAATGCACTATAATAATTCTATGTGCTGGAAGTGTGAGAAATACTAAATGAAGAAGGTTGGAAATATATATAAATTAGGTGGGTCAATGCAAGGAATACTTACAACTTGTGACAGGCAGGCTTCTGAGTAGTGACTAGGCTGAGTTAGGTCTGTGGATTAAATCAAAGAGGATGTGCAGGGATTTTTATCTAGGGCAGTGAGGTGACTTCGGCAGCTAATAGCCCACAAGGATTTTCTACTCAGGCTTTTGTCTGGACAGGAGCAACATTATAGTCTCGCTGGTAAGACACTAATCTGTTAGCAGAAGACACTGTTACTGTCTAGCCTTTCTATACATTGTTAATTGTGAACAGAATTCTGGGTAATCTCAGAAGGTTGGGTTTCATAGCTACTCGCATTACATGGAGAATTCTATGATTGTGAAAGAGCAGGTTATTGAAGTATGAATTTATGTTGTGGAGCTAGAGTAACATGTCCAGTCCTAATCAGCATTTGATGCAGAGGAAGCCAGCCATTTAGTATAGAACAATTTTGACTTTTCAGTTGCTTTTTCCAACTATGGCTATTCAAAGTATTGTTTTGAAAAACAAGCATAATGAGAAAGGAGGTTGAAACTTTGAATAGTATTCAGGACACTTTTTAGAGCTAATGGAAATACTGACTTAATGCTTAGGGTGAAGGCCTTACAAGTCTATAGTGACCATGCAGTTTCTAGGTCAATGACAAGAACTGGTATCCTTCCTCCTACTTGATCAGCTCCGAATTGCATGCTCGTGGCTTTTGCTTGCACACTTAGTCAGGAATTCTCATCATCAAGATAGCAGAAACATCTAAGTCTCAGCCGACAAAGTTGATGCAGAAGTCATGAGACTGAAAGGTAGGCAGTCACCAGGTAGGTACAGCACTTCAGGAGGAACAAAGGAGATCTGATTTTACTGCTCCTTAACCCTTCTGAGTACCTCATGAGGGTTGGATTCCTCGCCTGGAAAATGAAAATGTGTTTTATTATCTCTAAGCTTCCTTAAGGCAAGGAGGTTGAGGCAGAAGAACTTGACTGCTTGAGGGGAGGGAGACCTGCAGAGTTCAGCTTCCTCTCCCTTGGGATGAGAGCCCAAAGCTCCCCACCTGGGAGCCCAACTCCCAGAGGCGGATCAGCCTTCGTCTCCCACCCTTTCCCAACATGTACAATACTAACTGCTTGCTATGGTACAGACCCCTGCAGGTGAGGCTGCTACATGAACCGCCCAAACAGGGTCTCCGTTCACCACACCCTCTAGACATTATACATGTGGAAGGGGACACTGAGCAAGTTGTGAGGAAAATTGTGAAGCGTGATAAACGCTGAGGATGATGAATTGTAGCCATTTCTTAGCTACCATTTCTTTTTTGGGGGGTGGGGGGTACTGGGGATCAAACTTGGGTGCTTTGCGCTTGCGAGGGAGGTGGCGGCACCACTGAGCTAAATCCCCAGCCCATTAGCTACCATTTCTTAACTAGAAGGAGAGAAGATCAATTTTATGGAATTGCTATGAATTTTGTCTAACTTGGACTGCAATAAGAATACTCTGGATTGGGTGGCTTAAACAACAAGCTTTTTATAATTCTGGTATTTCTGGGTTTACACAGGAAAGTCACAAAAGCTTTACACAAAAGTTACCTGCCTGGAGTCCCTGCTCTATGTGTGACCCTCAGAGAGCTCAAACCAACCTACGCATGATTTTTCTTTTTTTTTTAAGACAGGGTCTTGCTATGTGGTTCAGGCTGGCCTTGAACTCGCTATATATTCTAGGCTGGCCTCGAACTCATAGCAGTCCTTCCTCAGCCTTCCAAGTGCTGGGATTACAGGTGTGCACTACCATGCCTGGTCACATGATTTATTTTTAAAGAAAGAACAAAGTTAAACAGTTGGTCATAAGGCATTGTGTATTTCAGTATGTAGATTTGGGACATCACCATGTCAGAAGATAGAATGAGACAGCGCACATTTGAACTATGCAAAAGCCTGTGTGAGGTGAAGCAGCTTTGAATGAAGGGACAGATACAGCCTGATGTGTGTTGTGATTTTCTCAGCACAAGGACCATTGCTACTACATGATTTTCTGAATTAGTGCACCTTGGTAAAGTTTAAAGCAAAACAAACTAAGTTCACTTCTTGGTCACGGTACCGTCCCATCAAGTTCAGCATGTGTTACAACTGCAAAAGTACGTTTATAAAGAAAAGCTGTGTTCTGGGTTCAGACATCCTTCTCCCTTTCTCTTCCATTACGACAGTCTAATGAGTGAGACATTTAAAGTCCCACCGACCAACGGCATCTTCTGTCAAAACCGAAGAGCGGTGAATGTGTTTCCTTTCCATGTGTCCTTCACTCCTCCCCCATTCTACTGGCTGGAATGTAGAAGTGTCTGGAGCTCCAGCTGCCACCGTGGAGCAGATGGGTGATTACACCCCACCCCAGGAGGTGGGCTGAAGCGGCAAGCCTGTTCCCTGGGCTTGTTCTGAGTCTGGGCTGCCTGCCAGTTCTGCACTCTCTTGCCTCCCAACTCTCACATGAGCAAGATTTAAATTTCTACACTCTTAAGCCATTATTATTCTGGATTGCTGTCTCTTTATATATAGTAAATAAACCTTAAACATAAGCATTTCAAGTTAGTTGTTAAGGACTAGTGTTTAATGTGATAAAGATAAGAACCATGATCTAGGATTTAGGAATGCTGGGAGGTTGGGCCAGAAAGGAAATCTAAGAAACAGCATTGCTTTGCTGGGTTCTGAGAGTAGATCTCAGCAGTGACCCATAACACAGGTATTCTAAACTACAGTTGTGTAATTGTGGTCAGGTCTTCTATGAAGAACTATAAGGTACAATATAGGTAATGTGCAGTCAGGGCAGAAAAGCCCTTCTGAGCTCTGAATGATGGGTATGACTAACCAGGTAAATAGAGGACAAAGAAATTAATATCTTTTGCTACTTGTTCAAAGCTGGGGATAGGGAGTGCTTATGAAATAGTTTTCTCTCACACACAGCAGGTGATGGGTAATTTGGAGAGTAAGAACCCAGGGCAAGACTAATTCACTTGATGTGCAGCCAGTGTGTGGCACAGGGCCTGACTTGCTCAAGAAATCCTGCTAGTTGGGAGCTGTGTGGCCAGTGTGATGGAGTGAGCTGTGTGCTGTTCATTAATCTGCTTCCCCATTCTAAATTCCCTTTGGAAGCCATGACAGTGAGGATGATACAGTCAGACACGGGGGCAGATCTGCCAGCCGAGGAAGACAGGAAGCTCCATGGCAGACAACCTGGGGAATGGTATGTATCGCCAGTGGGCCTTTTCTAGACCACGAAGACCTTGTATTACTCCCAATATGCATGGGCAGAAATTCAAATAGATTTCCTATGATCCCTACAAGGAAGGTGCACACTTCTGATTGCCCTGCTACAACTAGTGATAAGACTGAGAGTAAACTTACAACTGTATAATTTGTTCACATTCAAAATATCGCTACAAAAACAGAATTTTTATGAAAAAGATTAGTCATGGCCAGGGATTTAGCTCAGTACCACACCTGCGTCACAAGCACAAGGTTCTGAATTCAATCCCCAGTACCACCAAAATCGGCTTGTCTATTTAGTAGGATATTGAAATTTGTATTAAAAATCTACTGGAAGTAGAGCATTTCAGTAACACTTTCAATAAGAATTTTCAGAATGGGTAAAAACAAGTGACTCCATGAGTTAGAGAGATCAGAAAACAGCTGGAAAATTTGGGATGAAACACAGGCTGATGAGAAGAGGCAAGGGGGAGACCTGGGTGGTGGTGGTAACGGTGGCAGCGGCGATGTCAGGTCTCTCTGTGATGACCCAGTTTATCCAGCATTAGCTGCAGCCGGTCAGAAAGTCAGAGTCTTCTCATCTTACTTGTGGAACTGTTTTTCAGACAATGCTGGAACAGGGCCTGAAGCCTGGTCTGCCGTCCAGTCCTGTGCCATTCCTCTCCTTGGTGCTGCGCCCAGCCATCTGAGTTGCCTTTCACATTCATACCTGCTGTTCTTGCCACCTGGTCTCGGCCTCCCTCTTCTCTAGGCTTCTCCAGGATCCTGAGGCTCCTGCTGGGAGAACTGAGTCTGTTCCTCAGCCGCGACATGAGTGGAGTGAGTCTCCCGTACGACCTGCTGCACTCCCCATAGCTGCAGGCTCTGCTGAAGGTGAGCAAGGTGCCCCGGCTCAGTCTTTGCCTCCCGTGGCAAGGACAGCTGTCCTACTCCATGCTGGCTGCTGTGACAAAGCGCCACAAACTGAGCAGCTTGTGAGCAACAGAAATGTCTCCCCATGGCCTGAAGGCTCAAAGCCCATGGTGGGCAATGGCTGTGTGGGTGTATGTTGAAGACTCTTGCTTTGGTTTCCTGGCCTGCATGTGGGAAGGGCAAGTGTTCCTCCGGACATGAATCCTTCCCACCAGGCACCCTGCTTCCTTCCCAAGTCCCTACTTCCCAGAGCCACCCCAGGGATGACCTCAGCAGAGGAATTTCCTGGGACAGAAACATTCAGATGAGAGGAGCTGCTTCCTCAGGGCTGTCACCTGTCACTCACAGGGATCTCAGTGCAGTCCTCAGAAGAGAGCCTTCATCCAAGAGTTTGTTGCTCTGCCACCAACTGAGAACTGGGGATCTGTAACCCCTGGGAAGGGTTTAACCCCTTTACTGCCAGTGGGCAGCTGCTGTGTTGCCCTTGTAAGCCTGAACACTGGAAGGTAAACTTGAATGCTGGTATTCGGTAGAACCAGAAGCAGCAGCATCACAGAACTGGATGGAAAAGGCTAGGCTAAACTGGCCCAATGGACCTTATTTCTCCCTCCGGAAGAGAGACTTAATTCCTAAAATTTGAAGCTTGGTGTAGTGGTGCATGCCTATAATTCCAGCCTTTGGGAGGCTGAGACAGAAGGATCACTGAGTTCAACGCCAGCTTGGGCTACCTAGTGAGACCGTCTCAAACAAAACAAACAAACAAAATAAGAAATTAAGGTCTGCATTGCAGAACTAGGCTTTGGAGAACTTAGCCCAACCCTAGGTCCTGGCACAGAAAACAGTTCCTAAGGGTCAGCTGAGACAAAGTTGGAATTTTTTCAAATGAATTTGTCTGGAGAATTGGAGTTATGAGAAACTATCCAATCTATCATCAAACCACCCTGATGCACCCAGAAGCTAAGCAAGGTCAGGCCTGGTTCATACTTGGATGGGAGAAACCACCCAGAGGTCAGAGCAGAAGACAGATAAGCATCCACAGCACACCTGGCCTCTTACTCAGGACCTTTTAGCCCTCAGTCACACAGCCCATCCTCTGCTCCATTTGCAGGACGAAAGCCTTCTAGGCCTGTAGCCACAGAACGCCCCCTTGGATGGGTGCAACACCCACACCTCCCTGTTGCTCTCAGCCCTAGAAACTGTACCTTTACTTGGCTTAAGAGTAACTTTGAATTTCTTTTTTTTTCAGTGAAATTGTCCAGAGGTTGATTTCCTACTGGCAGCCAATACTCAAATCTGAAGTGTTGGCAGACCGAACTAGAGTTCCTTCCTCCTTGCATTTAAAGATGTGCACCATCCTGAAGACCAGCGATGCTGTGCTCCCCAGCTTCCCTCTGGGAGCCTTTGTCCAGATCATCAGCGGGCACTACCAATCGCAGTTCTCCCATCCTTGCTCTGCTGCAGGTTTATGGCTGCCTCCAGGAGTTTAAAGAAAAGAAGCCAGTTCCTATCGCAGCAGTTATCCTGGGAGGTGGGTGATTCTACTCCACGCGGCAGTGGAGCTCTGATGGACACCGCATTATTGCAGTGCTTGCTGAAGTAACCTGCAATGCGGTATTGGAAGTTTGGTGATTATACATGTTCATAAGTTTTTAATTCAACACTAATATAAAGAAGAAAACTGTCTGGCTATCTCCCTGAATTAACACCCCACACGCACTCACACATGTTTTTAGCATGTGTCCATTTCTTTTTTTCTCTCACCTTTGGACTGAGTTTACCCTGTGTAAACAGGATAAACGTACAGATTGTAATGATTCTCCTGTTTATGTTTCTAGTCTGAAACTCTTCTCTGAATTCCAGTCTCAACTCTCCAGCTGCCTCTTCCCCACCTTAGCTGGATACTTAATGGACATGTCAGACATACCCTGTCCCAAACTGATGCTCTTCTCACAGCCTTTTTCATCTTGGTGAAGACATCTCTGTCTCTGAAGTGCTTTGGGGTCATCTTTGACTCTCTTTTTCCTTACCTCACACCCAGTCTGATGACATAGCCTAGTAGCTCTCCTCTAAAATACATCTTGCCAGGGCTGGGGATTTAGCTCAGTGGTTCCACTGCCTGCCTTGCAAGCACAAGGACCTGAGTTCGATCCCCAGTACCCAAAGCAAAACAAACAAATAAAAGCATAAAATACATCTTGCCCACTGAGCCACCTAATAAAAACTGTCCTCATCTCTTCCACAGATGTCTGCAAAGTAGCCTCCTACCCATCTCCTGCTTCTGCCCTTGCTTCCTAGATTCTTGCCACACAGTAGCCTAAGAAATATTTTTATAAATTTAATTTTATTGGTACATTTTATATATATATATATATATATATATATAGAGAGAGAGAGAGAGAGAGAGAGAGAGAGAATAGATAGATAGGTAATCTTCACTTGATCCTAGCCAAAAGGCCAAAAAGCGATAGATCTTGATTTTCTTTGTTTTCCCCATTCCTCTCCCCTTCCTTCAAACCCTCCTCTTCCTTATTTATAAAAGCTTTGATCCATATTTTCCTTTCTCCTCTTTTTTTATTTTCCATTCTTTCCTTTCCCCCTTCCTAGTTCCCTTCCCACTGGTACATTTTCTTCCTATTTCACTTCATTAAAAGCAAGTCACTTCTCTGCTCAATTGCCTCTGGCTTCCATCTCAGAGTAAACATCAAAGTTCTTACGTAGCCTGATACCTGAGTGGTCATCACCTCTTTGACTGTGGACACTGTTCTCTGCTGTTCACTCTGCTCTGCTCTAGCTGTATCGGGCCCTCGGGTGCTTGGGTTTATCAGCCTGCACCTGAAGCCAGCCCTTTGCACTAACATTCCCTGTGTCATCTTGTACCACACAGTTAGCTCCCTCTTCTCCACTTTCTCAGTGAGGCTTTCCCTGGTCACCTAAGACTGCACCTCCTCCTTGTACTCCAAAGTCAACTTCCCTGGGTTTTTTGTTTGTTTTTACTTAATTGTTCACCATCAAGCAAAATGGTTTACTTTGGTTTACTTATATATTTTTTCTTTTCTTTTTCTTTTTCTTGTACCAGGGATCAAACTCGGGGCCTTGTGTTTATGAGGCAGGCAGCAGAACCACTGAGCTAAATCCCTGGCCCTATTTTATCTTCTCTCTCCTCACAGAAATGTAAACCCCAGGAGACTAAGAATTTTTGTCTGCCTGTTCACTGCTATTATTTTTTTGTTTGTTGAGACTGGGTCTCACCATGTAGTTTAGGCTGACCTTGAGCTCACTATGTAGTCCAGGCTGGATTCAGACTTGCAGTGATGTTCCTGTCTGAGCCTCCTGAGTGCTTGGATTACACATGTGGGCCACCATGCCTGGCTCAGTGTGGTTTTGATTTGCATTTCCCTAATGACTAAAGATGTTGGACATTTATAATGTTCATATATTTATTAGGCATTTGGACTTCCTTTGAGAAGTGTCCTTCATTTCATTTGCTCATGTAGTGATGAGACTACTTGATTTTTTAATATCATTCCCATTTTCTATTTGGAAAGTTGAGCATTGCAGGGACTAAACTGCCCGAGCTCCCCAGGCAGCACACACATTCAGTCATCTGCTGTGAAGCATCGGCATCAGCAACAGAGACATTAGGGCAGCTTTAGAGAGGAGCACGCACCTCGGCGATCATGTTCCTAGGAACTGGCCAGTTCTGCGGGGCTGTAACATCGGGCTGGGCATCGGGGTTTAGATCAGCACCAGCCTTGGATTTCACAATGAAGGAGGGACCCTATGCCTTGACTTTAAAGATGAAAAAGCAGCTTTGGTGGCAGCTTCTCTTAGGTCAATATCACATTAATATGGCTTTTATCCTGCCTGGGTGAGGTTGAGTGAGTGATGAGGGTTTCTAAAAATTGTATAATGTATGTTTTCTCATGAGCCAGGTAGTGGAGCTGTTATGTGAAAGCCCTAATTCCCCTGAGATCCAAGAGCTGAGGCAAATCCTCCAGGCTCCACACTACAAGGTAAGTGCTTGCTAAAATAGACATGGTGTGAATAAATGTGACCGGAAATGTGCTCTCTAAATAGATGTTCTATCACTGTCCATGGGTACCAACAGATTATACTTTATGATGTGGGACTCAGATGTGGCTGGCTCAGTGTTGCATTTATGAAGAAGCATCTAGAACTTTCTATGGAGTCCTGTTTCCCACACAAATCCATGGTCCCTCTAAAATTCTGGCAGGGGGGCCAGGGATTTAGCTCAGTGGTTCTGCCACCTGCCTTGCAAGCACAAGGTCCCAAGTTCAATTCCTGGTGCCAAAATTAATTAATTAAAATTCTGGGGAAATTATATTAGCAGGTAAAATATATTAGGAAATTATTTTCTTTTTTAATTTTCTGAATTTTTAAAATTAATTTTATCGGTACATTTTATATAGAAATAATGATCACATTTGCCATAGGAAATTTGTATCTATACATGATATATCTTTTTTTTTTTGGTTTTTTTGAGACAGGGTCTCACTATGTAGTTCAGACTGCTCTGGAACTCACTGTGTAGCCCAGGCTAGTCTCAAACTCACAGTGATCCTCCTGCCTCAGCATTCCGAGTGCTGGGATTACAGATGTGCACCACTACACCTGGCTGTACATGATATATCTTGATTCTTCTTTTTTCCCCTTCTCCTTGCCTTCTTTCAACCCCTCTTCTCTTTATTTATGAAAGCTTGCTTCTACATTTTTCTTGTATTCTTTTTTTCTTTTCTCTTCCTTTCTCTCTCCCTCCCTTGTTCCCCTTCTCATTTGAACATTTTCTTCTTATTTTCCAATATCTGTTACACATTTTGGTCCTTATTTATCCTTTCATTTTTTTCACATCAGTGAGACAATGCAATATTTAAATATGTGTGTCCAATTTATTTCAACTAAAAGTATGGTCTCGAGGTACATCTATCTACCTAGAAATGTCTCAGCCTTATCCTTCTTTATGGCAGAGTAGTGCTCCATTGTATAAAAAAACCCACATCCTCTTTATGCATTCATCAGCTGATGATTATTTGGGCTGTTTCCAAGATTTAGTTATTACAAATTGTGCTGCTATAAACATGGGTGTGCATATATTATTATGATATGGTGCTTTTAATTCTTTGGGGAAGATACCAAGAAGGAGGATAGCTGGGTCAAACAGAACCTCTAGTTTTAGCTTTTTGAGGACTCTCCACACTGATTTCCACAGTAGTTGCACCAGTCTACACTCCTACCAACAGTGGAGAAGGGTTCCTTTTTTCCCACAGCCCCACCAGCATTTATTATTGGTTAATTTCTTGATGATAGTCATTCTTTCTGGAGCAAGCCAGAATCTCAGCATTGTTTTAATTTGCGTCTCTCAAATGTTCAAATTGATGTTGAACAATTTTTTATATATTTACTTGCCGTTTTTACTTCTTTATCTGAGAAATGTCTATTCATTTGAAACGCCCATTTTTGCATTAGGTCTTTAAATTTGAGGACGGTCTTTTTTTTTTCAGTTCTTTATATATTCTAGATAGCAGTCCTTTTTCTGAGGAACAGTTGGCAAAAATTTTTTCCAACTCTGTGGGCTGTCTCTTCACTCTGTCGGTGGTTTCTCTTGCTGTGAAAACGCTTTTTAAATAAGATGAGATGCCACTTGTGGTATTTCCTGTGCAATCAGGGTTTTGTTCATAACGTCTTTTCCTACACCAATGTCTTCAAGAGTTCTACCTCTTCTATCTCCCAGCAAATTTAATGTTTCTATTTTAATATTTAGATCTTTGATCCATTTTGATTTTAGTTTAGTACACGTTGAGAGATATGTGTCTATTTTTAATCTTTGGTATGTGGAAAGCCAGTTTTTCCAGCACCATTTATTAAAAAGGAGGCTATCTTTCTTCCAGTGAAGGTGTTTGGCTTTTTTTTTTTTTTGTCAAAGATAAGGTGGTTTCATGTGTTTGAAGTTGTTTCTCGATCTTCTACATCTTCTAATGTGTTCCAGTGGTCCTCAAGTCTGTCTTTTTTTTCCTAGTACCATGCTGTTTTTATCACAGTAGCTTTGTAGTATAATTCCAGACCAGAGATTGTGATCCTATTTTAGATAGGTAAGTTAATTAGATATTTTGTAGGCAGTTAGACAAGGCTGCCCTCGAGGGCTCAGTCCTCAAGGAGCCAGCCCTTAAGGAGCCAACATGGAGAACAACTGAAGCAAATTCACTGGTCAGCATTATAAAAAAGAAGAGGCACTACTTCCCCTAGAGATTGATAGCAGTGATTGATATTCTAAATGGGAAATTCCTTGTATGTGACTCATTTTTCTATTTTGATCCCCATGTAATCAATATTACCTGAGTGACTGTACTTGTAATCTTATTGGTTGGTCATGGTTTTGTCCCTCCTCATGCCCACCTTGTAATTGTCCATTGGGTTTTATACTTTTGTCCCACTTTGTACTTGACTCACCTCATGGTTTTGCCATATAAAACAACTTTGAAAAGCAGGGTAGGTGAGCAACCCATTTTCAGGTCCCCCTTCTGTCTCTCTTAGAAACTATCTTTCTCTCAATAAATTTTCCTACTCTTAACCTCTGTTGTTCCTAGATTCAGTCTTCAGTTTTAGAGAACAAGAACTTACATTTTGGATATCTACCAGGTTTGGGAGTTACATCTATTCCCCCTATATCAATCCCCCATGCCTTGCCTTTGTTGCCTAGGATTTCTTTTGCTATGCTAGGTCTCTTCTGGTTCCAACTGAATTTTGGGATTGTTTTCTCTAATTCTGTGAGTTATGCTATTGATATTTTGAAAGGGATCACATTACATCTGAGATAGAACAGAGTGGACCATTAGAAGGATGTCTTTAGACCCTTGTAATCCCAGCACCGGGAGACTAAGGCAGGAGAATCACTAGTTCTACACAGCAAGTTCAAGACTAGCCTGAACTACATAGCAAGACCCTGTCTGAAGAAACCAAGCCAAAACAAAACAAATAAACTCTTTGATTATACCTTAAACCAAGGAACCACTTTTTTCTAATTCTCTTCCACATGGGCCCTTGGGGGTTGCTGAGAAATTAAACCAGTAAGATTTTTGTTCGTTTGTTTGTTTTGGAGGGTGTGTGTGTGTGTGTGTGTGTGTGTGTGTGGTACCGGGGATCAAACTCAAAACCTTGCACTTGCAAGATAGGGTCAGTGCTACTGAGCTAAATCCCCAGCCAGAGATGTTTTAATTAATGCCCCTTATTCTGCCTAAATTAGAGAAAATTTTATAAAAGTTTTGTAGTTCAAACTCCATCTGAGCATCACAAATAACACAGGCTTCCAGGAAATGAGAACATCATGGAATAACACACATTAGCAGAAATGAAAGGGACAGTCACACATTGCTTAACTTCTGTGCCTCATTTCTTTTTCTGTGAACTAAAGACAACGAATGTGCCTCCTTGACAGAGTTATCGTGAAGATGCAACTAACCCATGTACAGCTCTGCACCTGGCTTCAGTGTTGTTGCTGTGTTGAGTCACTGTTTCTTAAGCGAGAGTGTCGTGTTTGTCCATGTGTGAAGTCCTTTTACTGTTCTCTCTGTCCCCAGGCCTTGCTCGGAGCTCATGACGGTGGCACAGGAAGACTTTGAGCCCCTCCTCCCACCACTTCCCCACAGTCTCCCGAAGAATGAGGAAGCAATGAGGATTGTTTCTTTGGTTAAAACCAACAGCCCTTGGTAAGGAAGTCATTTTATGTCTCACATAGAATTCTGCCAGAGTTCATTACAAACTAAGACATATCTGGAAGTCACTTGGGCAGAATCCTGTCTCTGGTCACACAGTGATGATGAAGACCCAGGAAACCGTGACTTTTGCCTGTAACTTCAAGCACATTGCATGTTGTAATGTTTTCACTGTGGGGAGACTTTTGCTTAGTGGTTTTTTTTTGAAAGTTAACCCAAAATTTATTTTTGTGACACATAAGACATATATGTATTTTATTTTATTGTTTGGCTTTTTGCCGTGTGTATTTATTTCATTCTGTTTTGCTGAAAATTTTTTCCTTTATCGATGGGAAGCTAAGAAAGGTGTCAGTTTGGTTTTCTAGAGTGGACCTACAAGTTGGGATGGAGTTTGGGAGATGTCTTTGCCTGTGGGAGCACATAATAAACACGTTTCTGTGAGGGAGCAGAAGCTCAGGAGGCCAAGGTGACAGTTCCTTGCCTCTCAGTTGCGGCTGACATGCACAGGGTGTCCAGCAGCCCCTCCCAGGTGGTGGACTTGAGTGCTCCATCTGGAACCCCGTTGTTTTCTCAAGCACCACGGGATGACAGGGGACATCCTGGTGGCCAGGGTCATCCACGGAGGGCTGGTAGAGAGGAGTGGTAAACTGCAGCAGCTGGGTATAGGTACAACCAGAAAAGCAGAAAAGCCTGGTTGTGTGGCCCTTTTTCCTGAGGATCCTCTTTCCTGACTTAGGTTGGAGCTCTCCTAAGTTCTTCTTGATTAAAACAGTGAAGGAAAAAGGAACAAATGCTCCAGGGAACCCATGTGCACACACGCACATGCACACACACACCCCGCAGTGTGTTGTTTTCTCAGTGACATCTCAGAGCCACCTAGGAAGCTAAGGGCTGCTGTGCCGGATGAGGAAGCTGAGGCTGACACAGGTAGGTAACTAACTGACTTGTGCTGTGCAGCTGTAGGTAGGCTCTGAGCCCAGGCCTGCCTGAGTCAGTAGTGCCAACCTTTTCTCCCTACATGGCCAATCCTGAAATGCCTTTTGCTCACTTTCTGTAGCAGCTCAGCGCAGCTTCCTCCTTTCACTGCTGCACTCTGAAGCGAGTGTCCCTGTGCCTGCTGCCTCACACCCTTTCTCCCTGCAGACCCAGAGGCTGCTGTGGTTTTTACCTAAGTCCTCTGGCAGATGCTGAAGACTGCCCAGCTGTTGGCCCCTTGGCCTCTGTGCCATTGTTTATTTCCTTTCTCTCATGTGCAAGTTGCACTGTTACTCCTCAGTTTCTACCTCCTCACCATGTGTAGTGCCACCAACAGCTTTCCTGAGGTCTCACCACTGTGGCTTCTGCTTCGGATGACACCCTGCTTCCTGCCTCATCTCCCTGCACCTCCTGTCATATTTCTCAAGGCTCAACCTTTTTTCAAAGGGACACATAATAATCACGCATATTTAAGGGGTGCAGTGTGATCACTGACATATGTACACAGCATAGAATGATCAGATGGGCATAATTATTTCCTTCTTAAACTCTTATGGGCTCTTAATGTTGGGAAACTGAGCTCCTTTGTTGAGTTCTTTATAAAATATATAACAAATTATTATAAGTTACAGTCATCCTACTGTGCTGTAGAAGACTTGCTTCTCCAGAGTAACTATATTTTAGTTCATATCATCCAACCTCCTTTCCCACCTGCCCTTCTCCCTGACATCTAATGCCAAGGATTCATCTTAACCTCCAAGTTTCTCCACATTTCTCTTTTGAAGACCCCCTCCTACTTTTCACTTTTTCTTAATAATTTACTCATGACCCTGACATCTTTATTTTTAATGCTGTTTTATTACCAGTGTTCTGGTTCCCTTTTACTACATTAGGTTACCAAAAGTAAAAGTATGGCCATCAGCAGTGGTAAAGAGATAGAAAATGAGAAGCTCCCATATTTCTGTGGTGGTCAGAGTTGGAATAAGCAGTTTGCTTTATTGTTATTATTTCCCAATACATTTTAAAGTGTAAAGCATACTTGATTTTGCAAGAGTGCTCTTTGGGAATGAGATGGCTGCCTCTATTTTTACGTTTTCCTGTTTCTGTGTACCCTCCCTCTGTGTTCCCGTTTGCATAGGGTTGCTGTATGCTGGAGACAAACTGTGGAAGTGAATGGGGTTTCTGTTGAGGGGCTGGAGCCTGAGAAAGCAATCCATATTCTGGTAACATCTTCTCTTTGCATCTTGTTCAGAACTTGGTGGGAGGTGTGTGCTATAATATGACCCTGTGCCCAGGCCCCAGGCCTATCACCAGGCAGCTCTTGGACCTTCCTCCTTTCCCACAGAAGTTCTGGCCCTGACTGGGAGACACCCCTTCCCAAGCTACTCCTTAGGACAGCCAGAACCCCAGCTGGGTCACCCATCACCCAGGCTTCTCCATTGGAAACCAGGGCAGGGTGGCATCTGAGAGAAGCACCCCTTGCTTCCCAAGTGTCTTTATGTAGCTGAGGCCCATGGAATACCTTCCTCTAAGGCAGCCTGGGAGTTGGTGACCCACCCATGAGGAACACAGCCTTGCTTGGCCTCGCCCCTGCTCCTGGTGGTTACAGCTGGGCTTCACAGCCCGTCTGAGCCCTTGTTCATTCCCACTCCCAGAATCACAGCTCAGCTGATGGCATAACCCCACCTGTCTCCCCCTTGAATACCCAAAGGTGAGCCCTGAGATGGATCATGGTATATAGACCAGGGGTTCTCAAACTGAGTTCCTAAGGGGACTCCAGGTTTCCACAGTGACAGCTCTGTAGAGATAGTGGTTGGGGGTGAGGCAGGGAAGAATGAGAGCTATAGCTGCGAGATTTTGTGTGGCATGAAAGGTACTGCAGAGTGAGCTTGAAGTGTGTACCATAAACCACAGACACACATGCCTCTCTCTCAGCCTTCCTGGTACCAGCTGTAGAGTTGCCAGGACAGTGGGATGGTGAAATTCCCAAAAATAAGAGTGAGGCTGCTCCCTGGATCTTTGGTGCCTATCACCATGTGTGTAACAGAGGACTCTTCCAGACTAGGTGGCTAAGTGGTTCTCCTCTGCCCCACCATTTTGAGGGCTCCCCACTTGGGAGCCCCTCTTCTTCCCCCAAAAGACTGGGCCATCTGGTGTAGAAACAGGTGTTCAGGAAGTGCTTCTGAGTGAGGGGTGAGGAGGGCAAGTTGAGAGAGAATGTGCCGCTCCCCCAGGCCCATGGGTGGGATCTTTGCTGAGCAGGGTGCTACCGACGAGGTGATGGAACACTTCGTGTGCTGAGGCCACTTCAGCAAGGGTTTTATCAGCCAGTGACCCTGGATCCCTGCAGCAAGGCAGACACAGAGCTAAAGTGACCTTGAGTTTCCATTTTTGGGCTGTCGAACCTTGTGAAGTCACTGTGGAGCCTGTCACCACCCGGCCTGTACGCATGCAGCTGCATCTCCTTCTGCCGAGCTCCAGCAACCCTAACTCCCTGCTCTGCCCATCTTCCTCTTTGTCATTACCGAGGCTATGTCTCCCAGCACGATCACATTCAAAGTGGTTCCAGTTTCTGATCCACCTGTGAGCAGACTGATGCCGGTAAGGGGTGACCGAGGCTTTAGTCTGTGTGACTAATACAATGCACAGCATACCCTCCTCTCTACCCCTTTGGATGTGTGTCCAATACTGTGTTCAACTATTTCTCAATACTGATGACCTGAGAGCCAAAACAAGTAAAGGAACACAGGGCTGGGGATTTAGCTCCCTGGCTGCGCCTGGCTTGTAAGAACAACGTCCTGAGTTTGAGCCCTGGTACTGAAAAAACAAAAAAGAAAAAAAAAAAGTAAAGGAACACAGTGAAAACTCAGGCAGAAACATAAAAAATAGTGAAAACATTTCAGAGCTAAAAGATTCTATTCTTCAAAGTACTTGTTTTTATGGTAGTTAGCTTGGAAGGTGTCTCAATCACTTTCTCATTGCTAAGATACAATACCTGATACCACAACTCTAAGGAGGAAAGGTTTATTTAGCTCACAGTCGGTTGAGGTTTCAGTCTGTATTCAACTGGCTCCAAGACAGGGCAGCATGGCACAAGGACCTAGCAGAGGAGAAACAGCTCATGGCAGGGTGACAGGAAACAGAGCAATGGAGGGAGGAGGGAGGGAACCCTTCCAGGCCACGCCCCCTGACCACCTCCTCCCCGGGCTCCGCCTCCCAGCCTCCCACCAGCTATAGACTCCTCAGTGGACTAATCCCCCGTGAGTATCGCACTCCCCGATCCAGTCACTTCCCCAGAGACCCACTTTGGGGACATCCAGACATAAACCATTACAAGAGGCCAGTTCTCTTGGGCGAGAGGAACACTTGGTTAAGTGTTTTTTAAGTGGTGAGGGCCTGTGGGTAGTGGCTCGTTTGATGGCACCATTACCCCTGCTGTCAGGTTCACGTGCGTGCCATGACGGATTACTGGTCCCAGGAGGATCCCGCCATCCCTGCCCAGATGCTGGGTTGCCTTTCCAGAAGGGCGACGTCCTTCAGATTGTGGACCAGAACGACGCCCTCTGGTGGCAGGCCCGCAGAGTCTCAGATCCTGTGGCCTGTGCAGGGCTAATCCCCTCTAATCACCTGCTGAAGAGGTAAGAGCCTCTCCTGGTCTTGGGATGCACCTCAGGTTTCTGAAATTAACACGAGATAAAGAGAGACAGGCAGATGGATGGACAGTCAATTTACTGATCTACCTTAGGCATCATAAATACTAAGGGGGCCTGAGTATCAGCTAAGAAAGTATTTGTGAAACTAAACTCTAAAAGTGCTGTGGTCTTGCTGTAGTTCATGTATTGAAAGCTATTCAGTAAGGCAATTGCATTAAGAGGTAGAGCCTTTGGGAGGCACTTAGGCCATAAAGACAGAACCTTAAAGAGATGAGATTAGTGCCCTTGTAAAGAGCCCGAGGAGGAGGTGCTTTGCCTTTCTAACCACGTGAGCACACAGCCAGGTAATGCCATCTACGAAGCAGAAAGTGCTCACCAGACAGCACCTCAGCTGCTGCCTTGAGATTGGACTTCCCAGCCCCCAGAGCTGTGGGCAGTAATGCTGTTGTTTATAAGCTACTGAATTTATGATATTATGTAATCACAACCTGAACACCCTGAGACAGAAATCTTTCAAGGCTGAGCTGAGACCAGAATCCCAACCTCAAGCTGCTGAAATTTGATATGACCACCAAGGAAGGGAGTGAAAATGGAAAGAAGCACGTGTCCGAGACTCAGCCAGTATTAGAGATCACAAAGGCAAAAGGGAGGCAGTGAAAGAGGCGGAGAAGCAGACTGTGTGGGACCCTGATCAACTGCGCCGACTGTTGTTGACAGTGTTGAGAATTGGCTGCTGGGTTTAGCAGTCTGGAGGCATTGGTGACCTGGATATAAAGCAATTTCAGCTGAGGCATGGGGCCTTATGAGAGTGGTATTTGAGGAAACTGGAGACAATAAGCATGGAAAACAGGAACCTTTGGGTATAAAGCAAAGCAAGCAATGCTAGAAAGAAAAGCAGAATGGTATGACAGAATTTTTTAGATAGGGAAAATAATGCTATTGGTACAAATCCATTGAGAAGGAAAACTTTCGTGAGACAGAAGAAAGAGAAGAGAAGAGTTGTAGTTATGTTCCAGAGCAGGCAGGAGTAGGGGCTTTAGCCTCATTTAGGGCCACCGACAGATCTCCCACAGGAACAGACAAAGGAGAGAAGGCGGAGGATGTGAGCACAGTGAGGCAGGGCACAGGTGGGGCCTGTAGAAGCGCCCTTCCTAATGCCCTAATAAGTACATCAGGGAGCCACGCCACAGGCTGAGTGAGTGTAGGGCAGGTTAGGAGGCTTTGGAAAGCAAAGAGGAGTCATGGTTACAGGTCAGCTCCCTGGGTGCAGGGCTGGGTTAGGTGGGAGGTTGGATTAACAGCAAATCGAGAGAGGCCAAGGAGGTGGCGGCCATGACATTTACACCGCCGAAGGGGGAGATGAGGAAGTGAGCAGGTGGACGCAGTGAGAAGAAAGCAAGATTAGCAGATCATGGGTCCTTGGAGGGCCAACAGATCATTACGTTTGTGAAGACAGTGTTGGCAGGGAAAGGGGGAAGCAGGATTAAAGTGCAGAACAGCTGCTGCTCTTAGCACTGACGGGCAGGTACGACTGGGACAGTGGCTGAGGTAGGAAGAGGCCAGGAACGTGAGGGCCAGGGTCAGAAGCAGTGTTACACGTTGAACAAAATCACCGAGTTATGACCCAGTCGTGGTGACAGCCACGAGTGATGGAGAATCGAGGGCACCGCCATGCTGAGCAGAGAACAGGCAGGGACCTGTGACATCTCACGTGGCCTGAGTCAGCCACGGTGAGCCGCTGACCACGGCATTCTTCTCCTAGGAAGCAGCAGTTCTGTGGTCTCTGCGGTACCAGCCTCACATCTGCCTCAGGCCAACCACATGTGAGTAGTGGGGTCTCAGGTCCAGCATGAGCCTCCGCGATCACCTGCTCCCGTTTCCCAGGCCACGTCCCACCCAGGAGAGGGTCTCTTGATGTCACCCTGCCCCGAGTAACCTCCCAGTGGCCAGCCAGGAAAATGCACACATACATGTGCTGCTGACACCACAAGTCACGCTCTGAGATCTCTGCAGCGCATGTGCAATGTGCCGGGACTGACGCACGGCTGCACCCAGACCTCCTCAGGTTCTGTCGACTTCCAGGGCTCGCTCTGCCCCCGTTCAATGGCCTGCATGAGTCGAGTGTGGTTATCAGAGGATGGTTATACACGGCCGGTCACCACCCGCTGGTGCTGTCCAATTGCTGAGCAGTGGTCTCCCGATGGCAGGGGCGGGTAAGGTCCACAACCGAGGTTAGGAGCTGCTGCCTGCCTCAGCTGAGCAAGGACAGACAGGAAGCCGACACCAGGGCCTGCTGGCACCCACTGAGGGAGGCAGAGGCTGTAAAGGCATCAGGCAGGGGACAGGCAGGGGACAGGCAGCGTGGGGAGGAGAGCACAGGGACTCGAGCATTCTGACCATGACGCCTGTGCCACCAGTGTGGATCACCGTGGCAGCTGGCACCCCTCAGTGCTCACTTCTCCAACCCACAAACTATGTTCCTTTCTTGTTGCACTGCAAACAGATAATAACAACCACAAAGACATTTTTGTAATTCCTTGTCAGCAACAGTATTTTCTTGTATCTCGTAGTTGTATAACCTAGCCAGAGCTGCAGTGCCTGCTTCAACTCTTTTTAACCCAGTGTCGTGCCAGAAACATTTTCATGACATAATCTTCATAGTGATTTTAATTATTTCATCTGTTTTGGAAAAGTTTTTAAATCTGATCTAGAATTCCTTTTTTTTTTTTTGTACTTGGAATCGAACTCAGGACCTTGCACTTTTGAGGCAGGTGCTGCACCACTGAGCTAAATCCCCAGCCTTGACCTAGAATTCTTTGACTCACTTTCCTATTTTATTTATGAAAGACTTACAGAGAGGCCAAGTAGAGCTTCTGATCAGACGCGATAGTGTAACCCCTGACTGAGGTGCACTTGCTCATTAGTCTGCATGGGATTGATGTTAGATCTTCCAGAAGTCCACACCAAAAGCACCTCACGTCCTCAACACATCCTTGAGGCCAGGAGCCCTGGCAGAGCTGCCCGTGTGAATAGCCCCACAGGGGATGTTTCTGTCCAAATGTGGTGCCTCTCCACACTGCCAGGCTGCTCCTTTTTGACTGTTGAGATGACACTGCCACCCGTGTTTCTGTACATGCTCCCACTCTAGTTGTCTCACCAGAGGGGAAAACAATCTCGGGGACACGCTACTAAGGCAAGAGGTAGAGAACATTCTGTTAATACAGCTGAGGGTGCAGCTTAGTCATCGAGCACTTGCCTCTCAGTGTGTGATGGCCCTGGGTTCGATCCCCACACTGAAAAAAAAAAAAAAAAAAAAAAAAAAA